ATTCGTCCTGCTCCTCGCCTCTTATGCACTGAGCTAATATTTGAATTGTTTATATTAAATATGGAAGATCTAAATTTAAAACTTTTTAATTTTAATTATATATTAATAAAAATAAAAATTTATAAAATTTATGAATTATTTTAATCAAATTTGCTGATAAATAATCTAGACAGTCTGGATTTTATTATAATTCCTATAAATTAATTATACAGATTTATTGATGATACACATTTAATATTAAAATTTATTATAATTTTTGTAAATTTTTATTTTTATAATAAAATATTAAAAAAAGTAATGATAATCTTCTAACATGTACTGTCTACAAATATTTTAATTATAAATTTTAAATTTAAATCATCTAGAGTAAATTTGCATATATAGTCAATTTATAACATTAAATTTGGAACATCCACATTAAATTTAAATTGTCCTTCCATCAAGATTATTGATCCAATCGATTTATTAAAAGATTTTATAATTTTAATAAATTTATATTTTTATAATATAAATAAGAATTAAAATTAAAAACTTTAAAATTGATTGTTTAGATAAAGTTTTATAGAAGAAGGTTACTGGAAGGAGGGAAGCCCACTCGAATAGACACACACAAAATTGCGCCTATCATCACCTGTCTTGCCGCCATTGTTGGCCATAGCTCTCCATTACTAGATATATATATATATATTTTTTTTTGCAATATTTATAATTTTTAAAAAGAATGCAATCTACCTCCTATTTGCAATATTTATGATTTTTTAAAATAATGCAATCTACCTCCTATTGTTAATAAAAGTTAATTTTAATTGTTTAGTTAATTTTAAATGACAGAAAAGGATATCAAAAATTATAAAAAATGACTAAAAAATTTTCTTGGTCATTTTTATATTTTTTTTGGATCCTACTATATAATTTTTAGGTCATTTACTGTAATTTTTTAATTATTTTTTGTAATTTTAAAATTATTTTTTATCATTTTACGATTAACTAATAGTTAAAATTAACTTTAATTTGTTAACTGTAAGGGCTAAATTGCACTATTTTTAAAAATTAAAAAAATTACACTCAAAATGAGTTTATAATTCAATATGCTCGTGAACATATAATTTAAGAGTTAATTTGTCATTTAACCACTATAAAATCCCATGTAAGCATTTTAACTATTGAAGAGTCCTACCAAATTCATAAATAGCCCTAAAGTTATATGAAACTTGACTGTAATTTTTTTATTAATTGACTAAAATGTCCCTAATTTGCAATAAAAAAAAAGGAAAAACTGACCCAAAAAAAAGCTTGTGCCTAAAAAATGTAGACCAATTTTTTAAAAAATTTAAGAATGTGGTCAGTTCACATTGATATAAAAAGAGTTTATCATTAATATACAAATAGTTTATCATTAAAAATTTAAAAATTATTAAGAATTTATTATTAATATACAACGATACCGTATATTACTGACAAATATAATAAATCAATTATAATGTAAAATATGATAAATATCGAGTTATTTATTTAATTTGGTTTTGTAACATGAATTATAACCCCCTACAAAAAACATCACCTTCCTTCTTTACCTTTCCCTCCACCTCTTTCTTGAATCTTACATCATCTTGTTAGTTGGGCATCCCCAAAAACAAAAACCTTAACCATAAAATTCACAAAAACTAGCTTAAAGAAGAGATTAGAGGGTAAGAATGAGATTAGACAAGTTTACCTTAGTGATTTGAGCTTGAAAAAATGCTTGAAATTAATGTCTCCACCAAATCTTAACAGAGGGAATTAATTTCAGAGAAATTGAAGATGGAGCTTCTAGAAGAGGATGAGAATAGATGAGGTGGATCAACACCACTGAAGATATGTGATTTCGAGCAAGGGAAATGGGGAGGATTGAGGAGAAAATTCCATCTATGAGTGAGAACTCATAAAAAATAACATCTGCATAAGAGTAGGAAGATGATGCAAAAATTTAAATGACTTCTTACATCAATTCCTTAAGTACTTCCTAAATTGATTATAACAAAAAAATGTAAAAAATAATTAATTTTTTAAATTTTAAAAGTTATAATTACTCTTTACATCTGTTGACTATTTTCTACATCGGTTCCTCAAGGAGCCAATGTTAATGTACAAAGTCTAAAAGTCAAGCTAATATTATAAAATTAACACTGCTTTAATTTTTTACATTATTTGCCTAGTAGCCAATGTAAAAAGCCAAATCTATACTAATGATCAACTCTAAGTTTTAACTTTTAATATTATTTTATTATATTACATTAATAGGGGAGCAGCTGGAGGGAAGGGGTTTAAATTGGGGGGATAAAAGTATGGGAGATTTACATTGAAATCCCATACAAGAAAATTAATTACTATAAGGTCTCTTGACAAATGAACTAAAAATATTGATAACATAATTAATTTCCTTGTGTGGACCTGAATGTAATTCTCCCTAAAAGTATTATTGTATTATTATTTATTTCTTAAACAAGGCATAATTTTTTTGAAAAATATTTATATTAATATTATTAAATATATTTTATATTTATATATTAAACTTATAAATAATTTATAATTTTCTTTGTCTTTAAATGAATATTTTTCATTTAAAATATTTCTATGATTATGAAAAATTTTAATTTATGGTTATATATATATAAATATTATTTAAAAATATTAAATTAAATTTTAACTATTAATCTTTAAACTAGTACCTAATCTAATTCACTATCCAGTCCTATTTTTTAAACCTTGGATAAAGCTAATTGGACTTTTTCAACTCTCTCTCTCTCTCTCTCTCTCAGGTTATCATATACAATTAATGCTAATAAAGTTACAATGGATTAACCTAATTGATTGATTCCTTGGAGAAAGCAAGTTATTAAGACTTGGTAAGGTGTTTTAGTCTTCACCTGCTGCCAAAATTATCTTCTGAATTGGTTTAATTTCTTCATGTCTCTCTCTCAGCTCTCTCTCCTGTATTTCTCAAACACACGCATGTTCGCATGATCCTTTCTTTTCTTTTCTTTTCTTTTTTTATACAAAAGAAGGCGAGGAAAAGAAACTAAAAACAAGAAAGCTAAAGCTTAGGACGGTCTAAGATAATCCGGGAACGGGGGCACTGAGGATGCTAACTGATAGAATCCAGGAGCTTCCACCAAAGAACGCTTAGCAAGAGAATCAGCCTCTTGATTCTCCTCTCGACCAATCCAATGTTCTCATGACCCTTTCTTTCCACTATTTAATGCATAGTTTTGAATATTTCATTAATTGTACTTTTGTTTTTTGGTTGATGGACATCGCTCGGTGCTTTATTACACAATATAATAATATTTGCTAAGTTGCTTACTATTTATGTTCTCTTTTTTTTTTTGGCTTTTCTCTCTCGTTCCTTGTTTATTTGTTTATATAATTTATAATTAATTGGTAACTAATGAGAGGAATTAAGGGAGATCAATTGAATATATTCACGATTTGAGTTGATTTTTTCATCGGTATTCGTCACAACCGGTGAAAAATCAATTGGGGTGATTGACTGCAACAGTAGTACACGTTTTTTTCTTGTATTTTTCTTTAATAGTTGATCTGGTCTTAATTATAATGCGGAAGTTAAATACTATAAAAGTTATATAACTAAATTAGATATATCAAGAAAATTATATGAGTGATTGTGCGAAAAAAATGTGTATTAATTTCATTAAAATACTCCTTTTAATTATTTATATTAGAATTGCCCCATTGATACAATATAATTTAGAAAAAAATTATAAATTTGAGAAACAAAGTAGGTTGCTGTATGTGGACCAAAAACAATACTTGAGAAGTTTCGGTACCCCGTTTACAACGTTGGTTAATGATTGAGACATGACTGTTGTATTAAATGACTTAGACTTATCTACAGGGAAAATGCGTCAGTGCTGGGATCCGGTCCAGGCTGTGCGTGTTGGAATATTAGTTGTCAATCATGGTTAATTAGTTGTCCGCCTGAGCCTATGTGAAAGAATAAGGGATAAGTAATTAGGTGAGGGAGTTGTATCTCACCTTAAGAGGGGGTTAACAAAGGCCCCCACCTCATTATTTCACATTAAAGTTGGGAATTGCAAATTATCTTAGTTGGGTAGATTAATGCAAGGTTTTTATCATCTTTGTCATTAATATTTCCTTCTTTAACACCCCTCCGTTTCTATTTTATAAAATAAAATATCACACAGTTTAAAAAAATTGATTAACTATATTAATTGTATTTAAAAATAAAAAAAATAGACTACAATACCCTTTATTAATTGTATTAATTAAACCTTCATTAATTGTTTATCATGATTATGAATGATAAAATAATGAAGAATAATTTAAAGAGTTTATAATAAATGCTCATTGAAAAATATAATTTTACTTACATAAAAAAAATTAAAAAATAATAATTTCTCGTATAAATAAAAACAAAAGGGGTATTCTCAACAATGTGGCCCTGTGTTCTTGAGTTGTGTTGTTTGCGTATATGTGACTAAACATAGTAGTGAATCCAAAAGGCCAAGGATTTAAAGGGAAAGGGAACATATCAGATTAGCACATATACCAAAATGATCACCAAAATTAAATATATAGCTCGATCCGTGTTGAACCTAATATTAAAATAATTCGCAAGGTGCTTAAAATAACATTAGATATTTTAATTAAATAATTGATTGTACTAAAACCCACATATTTATAAATTTAATACAACCAAAAGTAACTTAATTAGTGTGGCTCTAGTAATAAGTTATAGTTGAAGACTCTTCTCTAGGAAAACGTGTTTGTGAGGTCATTGTCTTACTGCGTCTAAATGCACTTGTAATGCGGAGGTTTGCACGATGGTTGACTTTTATTCCAAAAAAGGAGGGGAAAAGAAGGGGGGGTGACTGCGTCTAAATGCGTTGTTGACTTGTATGCATCAATTAATGTAACCAGAAATACAAAGTGGCCATCAGTTTGAACTGGAACATATGAGATTAGCACAGAGCATGATAATGGCCACCAAAATTTTTCTGTCTCCTCTTTTTATACTCATTGCTTTCCTAGTCCTAGTCCAAATTCGCTCCTCTGAAGCCGGTGATGACATAATCGGCGTTTACTGGACTCTGATGGATGATAATAGTAATCTTACAGCAACATGTGCCACAGGAAAATACACTTACGTGGTCATATACTATCTCCAGACCTCTCGGGATGAGTTTAACCCTCAATTCAGCATCCCAGGTGGTACCTGTGACCCTCGTTTATCATGCCCCTCCATTGGCCCAGGTGTCAAATATTGCCAAGAACAAGGGATCAAGGTGATGCTCTATATTGCTGGAGACGGTTGGAATGTCACTCTATCTTCTGCTGACAAGGCTCGAAATGTCTCTGATTACTTGTGGAACACTTTCTTGGGAGGAAATTCATCTTCTCGCCCATTTCGAGATGCCATATTAGACGGCATCAATTTTGATATCCGCTACTTTACCCCTCACTGGAAGGACCTTGCTCATTACTTGAAGTCACACAGCACTTCAACACGAACGGTCTACTTATCTGCATCACCTCCATGCCGATTTCCTGATAATTTTCGTGGCACTGCCCTTGAAGAACATGGCCTTTTTGACTATGTCTTCGTACAATTCCAGAACGACCCTGCCTGCCAATATTCAGAATTGCGAGGTAATGTCTTATTACTAGAATCATGGAACAATTGGACGAAAGCATTAGGTGGGTCCAAAGTGTTGATGTATGTGCCAGCATATGAAGCTACTGTGGACACAGGAGGCTTTATTCCTCGTGGCGAGTCGATCACTAATGTACTTCCTATTATAAGGAAGTCACCCAACTATGGTGGTCTGATGTTGTGGACGAGGGGCTATGATACAATAAGTAATTACAGTGACTTCATTAAACTCAGTTCTCTTTGCACAGAAGTCCAAAACGCTTCCACATGCAGGAACCAAGACAGCATCTTTGAAGAACATGTCGGCAACATGTCTGGTAGTTCGATGATTTATGAAAGAGAGTATCTTGATCTACCGTGTTGTGAGACCATATGCAAGAACAATTGTTCCTGCGTCGCTTATGCACCCGTGAATTCCGATCGTGGATGCCAGATATGGCTTCAAGGAGCCACATTCACTGCTGGAGCAAAAGGCCAGTCAATTTATGTTGTAGCTGTTAGACACAAAGGTTGGTCCAATTTTCTAACTTGCACAACCTTCATATAGTAATATTTAAACATAATTTGTTCTGTTTTTTTTTTTTTCGTACAAGATAATGTTATCTGTTAATGATCACTCGCCTCCTGGCTACATCCTACATGCATATGAGCCTTTTTCTTTTTCTTTTATCCCTGCATTATTTATTTTTCTGCTTTTTATAACTTTAACGTTTTGAACTCAAGGAAGGTCCTGATTGGTAGAATATATCCTGTAGATTTGAAATAGAATATTAAATAGAACTAGGAAAACAAGACCTTCATGAGCGGCAATTCAACAAACTCAAGCTGAATGGCACACAGAATATTCGTGAATTGGCTAAAATCATATTCTTGTGAACTGTAGGAAATAGGTGGTGGATATGGCTAATCATCGGGGTGGGATCAAGCATAGCATTGTCTCTGATCTGTTACTTATCCTTTTGGAGAAAACACAAAGCAGAAGGTACTATAAAATAATATATACCCTAATATTCTGCTGATCTTATTAGTACCTCTATATCACCATTTGCACTTTCATGTCACATAACTAGTGCTCGGGGATATAAAGCAAAGGAAGATATTACATGACATTGGAGGCAGTGCAATGATTTACATGGCGCAAGGCAAAGCCAAAAGGAGTCAGAAACATCGACGGGCAAGCACTAATAATAATGAGGTCGAAATATTCAGTTTTGAGAGCATTGTAGTTGCCACAAACAACTTCTCATTTTCAAACAAGATAGGCGAGGGTGGTTTTGGTCTCGTTTATAAGGTAATCCAATTATTTACATGTATATTCATATATGTGAATTGAAACTTGATAAACTACCTGGATATGTCTTTATATATAAAACAATATTTCGCAACATACTTTCAGGGAACACTAACTGATGGACAAGAAGTAGCAATAAAGAGACTTGCTAAGAGTTCTGGACAAGGACTCACTGAATTTAAAAATGAAGCTAAACTCATGGCCAAACTGCAGCATACGAATCTTGTGAGGCTTATAGGGTTCTGCATCCAAAGAGATGAAAGAATATTGGTCTATGAATACATGTCCAACAAGAGCTTAGACTACTACCTATTTGGTAAGTCATATCCTGTCTTTTCAATAAACAATGAACTTGTTAGTGTTAAGTTTTCTAATAAGTATATTTATCTTGAAACAGATAAAATCAAATGGCATGTACTAGGTTGGGGAAAACGATTTAACATTATAGAAGGAATTGCCCAAGGGCTTCTTTATTTGCACAAGTATTCAAGACTAAAAGTTGTACACCGTGACTTGAAGGCAGGAAATATTTTACTTGATGAAGAAATGAATCCTAAAATATCTGATTTTGGTATGGCTCGAATATTTGGGCCAAAAGGATATGAAGAAAGCACAAATAGAGTAGTTGGCACCTAGTAAGTATGATACATAAACAACCACTCATGTTTAGCCATTTTTCCTTGACTCTATGATTGAGTATTGATTGAGTTAATTAACATCCTAACACTAATTTTCTTGTTTCTATTTAAGTGGTTACATGGCTCCAGAATATGCAATGAATGGTGTTGTTTCAATCAAAATAGATGTATTTAGTTTTGGTGTTCTGCTACTTGAGATTCTTAGTGGCAAGAAGAACAATAGCAATAATGATTTATATGGTTCTCTCAATCTCATAGGATATGTAAGTTTATCAAAATTCTATTTGACACATAACAACTCATTGTATGATATTCTAATAACTGATCACTTCAACTTTTGGTGGATGATGTAATTGTTTAGGCATGGCGCCTTTGAAATGAAGATAGAGCTTTAGAGTTAATGGACTCAAAATTAAGTGAACCAAATGACCAAAAGAAAGTGCTAAGAGGTATTCATATTGGTCTCTTGTGCGTCCAAGATCAAGCAATGGACAGACCTTCCATGGTGGATGTAATTTCTTTTCTATCAAATGATACAGTTCAACTTGCCCAACCAAAGCAGCCAGCATTTTTTAGCAGTATGGTTGAGGAACAGTTCATGTTATCCAGCAACAATCAAGAACTTTATTCCATAAATTGTGTAACAATGTCTAATATAGATGGCAGATAGCTAGTCCATTATGTACCGTGTATTTTCATTTTTTTGAGAGATATGTTCTTTTGATAAGTTGTCTAATTCTACTTTTAGAGATCTATGAATAAAACTATAGTTATGTGATCATGTGTTGAAATTGTAGCCTGTCACACTCGTAGCATCTTATTACTTTTAGTTGTGAGAATCCTTAGTGTTACTTTGAATAGGCTTGGAATTTTTGTTCCTTATGGCTATGGCTTTTTGCCAATAAAGCAAGTTTTAATATAATGCAGATTCTCAATCATTATGAAGCCCTTGATTTTATTTAATAACGAAAATGATATGGTTTAATCACATACAATCGAAATGTCATGCATTCAATTTAACAATGAATTTGAGAAGATAATCTACTCTTGTCAGCACATTAATGTTGTGTACACTTACCCTTGGATTTCACAATGGGATTATATCTATTAAACTTGCCACCCATCAGGAGATACCACATATTTAGAATAGTATCCCATATCTGATAGCCAGTATCATTATGTGTGGAAGAATAATAGCCACTAGAACAATTCATCAAACACCTGATGCCACAATTGTAGAGAGGGAGATTTCATTGTCTTCAATTCAATATCCTCCATTGGAAATATAACCATATTAGTAGTTGAGCTCGGACACAAGAGTTTTTGGGTTTCTGCAGTCTAGAGGTTTCGAAAGCATACATCCACTATCAATGGCCTAGTGGTGGCCTTTGCTACACAACAGTGTGACCTCCCTATAAATTTCACCCATGCAATTCAAACTAACAAAAAAAAAGGTATCATCAAAGTTGTAGGGACCCAAAAGTTTGACATCAGCTTCATTTTCATTTGATTCATAACAAAACTTGATTGAGCTAAAATTTCTAAACAAGTACATGTATCCATCCATAAATGTTCTTCCAACCTCTTCCAATGGCCCATTGGTCCAGTAAACACTCGTTCCCCAAACATTAAACCAGTTGGGTTTCATTGTTGGAGTCAACATTGATACTAAGAGTAAAGGAACTGAAAGAAAGGTTTCTTGATCCTACCCATGATTATAGGTTCCATACTTACCTTGTTACTTTGTTGAATCCTAGTCTCATCCCTGGCAGGAGGATGCTATAGGGGTGGTCTAAACTATTCCACATCAATCTTTTAATGGTGCCATTGTCATTCATTTTGTAAAGCTCCAAGGTACCCATACAAGTTAGAACGGCACTGGCATTGATTTTGGGTTGGTTCTCTGCTTCAAAAGAGTATATAAATATAGAACCAACATCTTTATTGTATAAAATTTTCATGTTACCATGATCATCAATAGTAAGTATTGGGTTTGAGTCAACAAGGAGCGGGTGGTATGGGTTGGCAAGCTAGATGAATCCTTCCTCTGAAGTTATTCTAAAATAGTATTCCCTACTATCATCAAAAGGCAAAGGGAAGAAATGTAGATGGTACTCCCCAACTAATGAGTTCAGACGATTGCCCAGCGTCAAACTGACTCCTTGCAACAGCTGGTTCCCCCAGTCGAGTTCCACATAAGATTGTTTTGTAAACTGTAAATACAACATAAAGGTGAGGAAACATAGAACATTGCCTCAGCTATCCATAGAATGAAAGGTTCTCGTTTCGAATAATCAACAAGAGAGCTGGTTTGTTTGGATCGGGGAACCAAACCTTCATCTTTGAAACTTTTAGAATCAGTTGATAAAAGTAATAGAATAATTTAGAAAGAACTAACGAATACTGAATATAATGATCATATCTAAATTTTATATACATTTTTTTCTTTTCTTATGGTCTATTTACAACATGACTACGCACAATCTAATTTAAAACATGCACATGAAAAAACAAATTTTCACTTTGGTTCTATCGAAAGACCTTTGTAAACTCTTGCACAGCCCTAAGAAAGCAACAAACGATCACACTCGCTTACATTCCTATGACCTTTAAGCTCATCGCCTTCACTTTGGTAGCAAGAGCATATGCATGTTTCCTCAGCCCAATTACGATTTTTCTCTATATAAAAAATAAAGACTTAAAAGAGTGCAGCAATGAAATGAAACTATTTATTTTGTTGAGTGATAAAACCTTAAAATTATAGGAAAGAACATTGCAAGATTCTTTTGCCAACGTGGTTAGACAGCATGGGATCTTTCATAGAAAAAAGCAGTATTTCATTGACAGAATGTTGATAAAAAAACAAAAACAAAACAAAAAACAAAAAAAAAAAGACTTAGGCCTACCTTCTTATAGTTTAAGCAGTCATTGAAATTACATAAAATCCAGTTGTACTTTATAATGATAAGTAAAAACAACAAACATCACATCAACCGTTTGGTAGTGCCATTGATATATTCATCTCTTAAAGTTCCATGTCACCCATGCTCCTTAGAAGGGAACCAGCAACATTGATTTTAGGAGAAAGAGACCCTCATCGATCATAATTAATGAATAGGAACTTGCATCTGAGAACTTGTCATATTTTAGCTTTGTGGTCGATGGACCTTTCTAGATCTAAACAATCATATCTGCCTTTAAATCATCTTAAATTTCTACAAGTTGTTTTTAGCTTCTCTTTGGCTACATTATCCTTCCCGTGTCTGTATATTTCCTTACCGTCACATAGCATACATACACCTAGGATAAGTTACAACACAGCTATGCCTCTGGGATATCTATAAACATTCAATAATGAATTTGGATAATTTGTCCTTGCTAAAGAAAAAGGAAGGAGTAAAATTTGTCATTGATAATGTGACTAAATCTAATGAGTTAGTATATCTAGACAATTGAAAGCAGGATAGACCACTAAAAAGAAGAGCAAAGCATGATTCTTATTGGTTTCTTTTCCTAGATCTAATGGTGCAACCAATACTAGCACAACAAAATGCATTGTGACTGTTTGAGGTGATAAGGCCTTGAAAAGAATGATTAGAGGATCGATAGAAACTGAAGATGAAATAGAGTTTAGTAGTTTACATGGGTACAAATGTATCGGCATATTTGAGAATCGGAGAAAGGTGTAGAAAAATGAACACTCAGTTATACCAAATAGTGAAAATAATCAAGGAAAGAAAGAACATATCAACCACTTAGATGGACGTGCCTTAATTGTAAGCGAAGATCATAGAAAAGGGAAAAACATTAAAATTGACATCTGAGTTTAGTTTCCCACAGCTATGATGTAGAAGATATTTAGGACTCCAGTAAAAGGAAAGAACTATTAAATTAGTGGTTCTTAAATGTCCTCTCCATACGTCGAAGAAGGGCCGGGAGTATAGAGCTCATAAAAACGTGGCTCCTTTGTAATTTTCCAGAAAATACAACAAATTCTAAAACAAAATAATAGAAGTCAGCTCCATCCAACCCAACCTAATATAAATGACTAGTGGACAAAAAATATAAATAAAAATAAAAATAAACAAACTAATATGAGTATATAACTGAATTAATCAAACCACCAGCCATGTGTCTAGTCCTAATTGTTAAGTTATAAACTTTGATTGATAGATTAAAAAAATTATAATTGTACTAGCATGCAAGCATAAACATAAATTACATAGATAACCACATGTAGGCAACAATTTGACACTGTTATGCTTCTCTTTTTTTGTTTTTTCTTGCCCCCTTGTAATTATACTAGCATGCAAAGAGTAATATAGCAAGAAGAGAAACATGAAGTCTAAAATTCTGTCATTGAGCACAGATATCATGCATGCACTCACTCAAAGATGTTCCTCCCATGTGTTTGTTTCTAAGATTGGATGAAGTGGACTGGCCGCACGCCCAAGAAAAGATAACACAAAGTTTGCATCTGTTGCACACATCATTCGGCGGTTGTGAAGAAAAGCCTCAAGAAGCAATTAATCAAACACCTGACCCACGCGCATAAAACATGTGATGAGATGCGGTCATAAATAGGTTGCAATATAAATCTTAAGAGAGAAGGTGATTATGAAGAATAATGCATTTGGAAAAAGGTTAAAGATCATTTTTATCTCTAAATTATATATGAAAGGTTACAAATGTTCTTAAACTTAACTATAGGTCAATTATATCCCTCAACTTTAAAGATTTTCTTTGTCATCACTTTACTATTTTCTCACCATTAGTTAATCGTTAGTAGGCCTCACATTATATTTTTTATTACTTTTTATTATAAAATATTTGAGTTGAGGGGCAAAAATAACTTCTTGAATAAAAGTTGATGGACAAAAATAACTCTTAACCAAATAAAAAAATTAAGAAAATAGTAAAATCCACTAATAAGTAACAGACGTTAAGTATTTTTAATGTTAAGATGATAAAGGAGGGAATTTTTAAAATTGAGGAACATAATTAACTTATAGTTGAGTTTATGAATATTTATAATTTTTCATATATAATTCAAAAATAAAAATAACCCTTAATCCATTGGAAAAAGCTGCTCACATTTTGATAATTCCCAATGAATAGTTGACAGGTTGGTGGTGATGTTGTTGTGTTTGATAAGCAGAACGACGACGTCGTTAATCATCCATAGGCAAAAAGTGCACATAGCTGGTACTTGGATCTAGATTCTCTTCATGCTCTTTCTCAATACATCACTCCCTATCTAATATCATCCATTCATTTAATTATTTTTTGGATTTATTGGTGTGAAATTGTTAATTATGGCATTGAAATCATTATAATATTCATATTTATTTAATGGTTATCCTTAATAAGCATTGTGATCTCATTTTGAAAAACATTTAAGTAATGATAGTGAATACTCTATTTATTTTAATATCATAGTTAGCAATCTCATATCATAAAACCAAAATAATAGTTAAATGAATGGATAGGATTGGATACGGAAACATGTATTGAGAAAGAGCATAGAGATAATCTAAATCCAATACATATACACGAAGTGGGCTTCTCAGGATTCCTCCTCCTCCTCCTCACCTCTTATGCACCAAGCTAATATTTGAATTGTTCATATTAAATATGGATGGTCTAAATTTAAAGCTTTTAATTTTAATTATATATTTATAAAA